CTAACAGGAAACAACCCAGAGACTCAAAATTGAAATCCAAACTTGATTCTCAGTTCAGCACTGTTTCTACGGTTCCAGCTGCCATACTAAGTAAAAGAAAAACATGCTTACTGGTAGCCTACTTTGTGCCAGGTACTGTTCTGGGTGATATCAGAGGCGGAACTGTCTAAGATCATACTCCTTTCTCACAAGGGCATACAATCTAGATGCGGCACTAATCTTTCTCAACAATTTTGCTGAGTCAATTCCATGCTTAAAAATTTATTATACATTATCTGTTATTCAAAACCCCATTGGTTCTAACTTATGCTCTCTACCACATTTTCCATAAGAACCCTAACAAAACATTCATCACAGTAAAATTATTTTATTTGTATAAATTATTTTATCTCTAGATGAAGAGATAAAACTTCATCAGACTATAAAATATTAGAGTAGTTTTAAAATACAGCTTGTGAAATTAGTGAAATTAGTGCCATTACATTATGGACCACAATAATATAAGCCGGTATTATACACAGTAAGTGATAATGTGTTTGTGTCCATATTAAGAAAACAACACTTTGGGTAGATATCACAAATGTTTGTTTGAAGGAATGTTGTTTGATTTTTCTTGAGGGAAAAATAAGGTTACAATAAGAAGAAGACAATAGGGAGGACATTCCTAGAGGGCATAAATGTCTTTGTTTAATCTTGGGAAAAATACAAATAAAATAGTTTGACTGTGATGAATGTTTTGTTTGGGTTCTTATGGAAAATGTGGTAGAGAGCATAGGTTAGAACCAACAGGACTGTGGCTTAAATCAGTGATCTTTAACATTTTTGCTCACTTATCCATTAAAAAAGATTTTGGAGAAAACTTTGAATTAAAGGATGAGTAGTTTTAACTTTATTCTTCAGATAACGATCAATGTATGATATGTTTTTAAGCATGAAATTGACTCAGAAAAAATATTGAGAAAAATAAATTTGATGTTCATAACTGGAAAAAATGAAATAGAATAGAAAAGATGAAACTAGGCTAGGCGTAGCGGCTCATGCCTATAATTCAAGCACTTTGAGAGGCTGAGGTGGGCAGATCACTTGAAATCAGGAGTTCGAGACCACCCTAGCCAACATGGCAACCCCATCGCTACACAATATAGAAATAATAGTTGGGCATGGTTCTGGGCACCTGCAATCTTAGCTACTGGGGAGGCTGAGGAACTAATCTTTTGAATCTGGGAGATGGAGGTGGCAGTGAGCTGAGATCACTGCACTCCAGCCTTGGTGATAGAGTGAGACGCCATTTCAAAAAAATAAATAAAATAAAAAAGATGAAACTACATATTATTTGAAAGGCATTTGCAACATGTATAATATACATATACATAATTCTAAATCATAAACAAATGAGCGATAAAATATAGTAAGAATTGTCTACCATAGTATAGGGCGTGGAACACAGTAGGTGCTTAATAATTGTATAAATAATTCATTCACAAAGTAATATTCATGTATGAACCAAAATATTACTGCAGACTCTTTTAAGCTAGTGATATTAAGGTACCCATTATAAAACCTTCAAATGTATATAATCTATTATCTCTTTCTAGATAAAAATGTAAGTTTTAAGGATCACTGAAAACTGGTAGAGTTACCTAGGTAACCCATGAAGTAAAATTCATGAGAATTAAATTCTGATTGTATTTCCTTTACTGTCTGCCTTTTGAAAAGAGGCAACAGATATAGCATCAAAGCTTCCACTTAACAAGCAGATCAAAAAGAATAGGTGACTTGATTCTGGTATATCTAAATATCTACTTATGATTTCAATCACTTTTCTTTTGAGCTTTTGGTTATTTTTAGAACCGCTTTTCAACAGTGACCAAATGAGTTCACAGACTGAGAACTTAGATGAGATCTATACAAATGCAATTGCTTGAGTATTTTTTTAAACTAAAAAGGATTTAAGGGTTTTTGAATGACTCAGATAATAGATAAAATATGGTTCACCTGTGCTGTCTACTGAACCATACGTGCCAAGACATTTAGATAGTGGCCAACATTTGCTGCTCTCTCTATTTAATGTTCAGAGTAGCTATTTGAAAGGAATACTTCTTTGAAAGATAGTCATGTTACCAAATCACCAAAACATCAGGGTAATCAGTGGAAAACGTCAATCAATCATCTAGATGTGTTGCTTGATTTACAATAAACATGGCTGATTCTGTTGCTTTTACTCTGGCAATATGGCATCTTGTCAGATAATGCTACTCCCAGGGAGAGATACCAAAAAGAGTGTATGCTGGATCCCAAAGTTTCTGTTGAAAGGATAAAAATATGTTTCCCTATATCCTGAGCAACAAAGTTGACTTATTTAATTTTTCTCTTCATCTGAATTATTTGTGCTAATACATAATATAGTTTGGCGTTAATGTTTTTGAATTTTAAAAACTCAGTTATTTAATGAAGAGACTATTTTATCTGTGTAGAATTTTTATCATTGTAGGTTACTAGATAAGAACATAAGAGAACATTACGTTGCTTTTAACTAAAGTCAAAATAACCTAGGAATTTCTGTCCATCACAGTCCTAGGGACTGGTCTGAGGCATCCAACTTCAAAACTTTTCAAAAAACATTGATAACACATATGTTATATGTAGCACATAAGCGTATTCTCTGAGCAAAGGGAACAGATTATTTCCTGAAGAACATTTCCAGGACACAAAGTGAAAAAAGGAGACCTCAATAGGTCTAATGGCTTCCTTGACGTGACTAAAATTTTTAGAGAAGTGTTCTGGAGAGAAGAAACAAAAACAGAGAGTAGAGAAAGTTCTAGAGAGCTGTAGAGGGTTCTACTCAAATCTTAGGCTGCCTGCTGACTACTGGATATGTGTGAGAAACTACTAAACTGAGAGAGAAAAAAAAAAAAAAACAGTAGAAAAAGACAGATGAGCAATCAGTCTCCCGAACTATGGTCAGAAATAGTTTGTGCTCACACCAGCCTGACTGTAAAGATTTTTAAGCACATAGGACATTGAATATAGATTTGAGAAGAGGATTGCATTGGTAGTGGGGCTAAATTGGTCGTAAATAGCTACTTTGAACTCACCTAAGAAAGCTGAAAAGAAAGAGTCAAAGGATCAGACTGTTCAAGTAACTTAACTGTGTCCTAGAGCAAAACCAAAAATTATTTAAGTAAATACCAGAAAAAAGAGAAATTCAACATGAAAATCTGTGTCTATAATCTATCCAAAAATTACCATATATACAAACTGTATTAAAATAGAATTTTTAATAAGGAGAAAAATTAAGCAAAATAAGTAGCTCATAAATTACAAACATGATGTAATTAGTAAATAAGAATATTAAAGCTTTATTCTTAGCTTATTTACAAAAGATAGATAATTGCATGAGCATAATGAAGAAAGAATAAAGATTTAAAAAACATCCAAATCAAACTTATTTTATCAAGAAATGAAAAATACAATGTGTAAAATAAGAAATACACTTTATGGAATTACCAGCATATTAGACATGCAGAAAAAAAGATTGATCAATTTTAAGATATAGAAAAAAAAACTACTTTTTTTAAGATCCAAAGAAAATAATTGAAAAAATCAACAAAGCGTGACAGAGATATAGAAGAATATTAACTAACCACATATACATGTAAAGTGAAATAGCAGAGGGGAAAGGGATAAAGAAACAAAAAAATTATTTGAAAAAATAATGCTTCAAATTTTTCCGAATTTGAAAACTATAAACCCACATCTTCAAGAAGCTCAATCAGCCCAAAGCACAAGAAATAGGAAAGTAACTACATAAAGACACATGATAATAAAACTGCTGAAAACTAGTAATAAAGGGGAAATATTTGAAAATAGCCAGGAAAAGATACACTGTGAATTGAAGACCAAAACAATGCATCGGCATATCATCGGAAATAATACAATCCAGAACATAGTGGAGTGACACAGAAAAGAAATAAAAAGAAAATAGAAAAAGTCAACCTAGAATTGTATAAACATCACAATGTGTTTTTAAAAATAAAAGCAAAATAAAGGCTTCTTAAGAAAACAAACACTGATCACTCTTAGACCAGCATTATAAGAAGTGTTAAAGGATGTTCTAGCAAACGGATAATGACAAAAAGAAATTTAGATCTTTGCTAAGGAATGAATAAAACCAGAAATCATTAATATGCTGATAGGTAAACATGAAATATTTTTATTCTATTTAAGAAATGGGATAAGAATAAAATTATTTAAAAATAATTTGTTGGGCATGGTGGCTCACGCCTGTAATCCCAGTACTTTGAGAGGCTATGGCCAGTAGATCACTTGAAGCCAGGAGTTCCAGAACAGCCTACCAACATGCTGAAACCCCATCTCTACTAAAAATACAAAAATTATCTGGGCTTGGGAGTGCACCTGTAATCCCAGCTACTCAGGAGGCTGAGGTACAAGAATCGCTTGAACCTGGGAGGCAGAGCCAAAATTACACCGCTGCCCTCCAGCCTGGGTGACAGAGTAAAACTCCATCTCAAAAAGTAAATAAACGAATAAAAATAATAATTTATTTTTGAGTTTATTATACACATAAAAAATATATGACAACAAAAGCACAAAATTCAGGTGATAAAAACAGAAATATAATACTTGAATATTCTTATCCTGTGCTTGAAGTGATATAATATTATTTGAAGGTAGACAATAATATGTCAAACATGCATACAATAAAGCATAGAACAACTGCTAAAACAAAACATAACAAACAATATAACTAATAAACTAATAAACCAATAAAGCAGATACAATTCAATTAAAAGACATTCAATTCTAAAATAAGAGCTGTATTAGTTTTCTATTGTGGGATCACACATTAACCCAAAACTTATCAGTGCCCACAACTGACATTTATTATCTCACACATTTTCTGAGGGGCATAAATTCAAAAATGCCTTAGCTAGGTGGTTCTTACTCAGGGTCTCTCAGGAGGTTGCAACTAAGAAAATGTGCTTCCTTCAGCAGCATATAAACTAAAAGTGGAACAATACAGACAAGATTGGCATGGCCTCTGTACAAGGGTGACATGCAAATTAGTGAAGCATTTCATATTTTTGGAGTAGGATAACTAAAGTTAACAATAATGTATTGTACATTTCAAAATAGAAGTGAGGACTTTAAATATTCTCAAAACAAACAAATGACAAATGCTTGTATTGGTAGATGTCTTAAATACCCTGACTTGATCATTACACACTCTATGCATATAATATAACATATACTTACTAAATTTGTTCAAATACTATCGATCAATAAAAATAGAACATAATCAGTTGGAAAAAAACCCCACTTCATAATTGATAAAACTACTAGACAGCAAATTAGTAAGAATATGGAATATTTGAAAAACAGTATGAACAAACCTGAACTAATTAACATTTATAGAACATTTCAGCCAAAAGAGTAAATTATACCTTGCTTTTACATGACATGGAATGTTTACCAAGATTAACAATATTTTGGGTCATAAAACAAGTCTCAATAAACTTAAAGGCATGTTCTCTGACCATGATGAATTTAAATTAGAAATCAATAACATTAAAATAAATGAAAAATCTCTAAATATTTGGAAACTAAACAATACATTTTCAAGTAACTTATGGTTCAAAGAAGAAATACAAAGGAAATTGGAAAATATTTTAGGCTGAATAAGATAAAAACATGACATATCAAATGTGTGGTACATAAATAGTGTGTAGAAAGATATTTATAACATTATGTATATATATATATATATTTATATTTATATCTGTATATATGGAAAGTTCACCATTAATATCTAAACTACCACTTTAAGAAGCAACAACAGCAAAAGACAGTAAGTTAAGCCCAAAGTAAGAAAAATAAAAAGAAATAATAAGAATAGAAGAAGAAATCAACGAAATGATAAAATAGACTATAAAAGAGAAAAGTCAATGAAACTGAAACCTGATTCTTTGAGATCAATAAAATTGAAGAGTCCCCAGCAAGACTGATCAGACTTGAAAGATAATATGAAATACAAATTACCATTATCAATGATAAAAGAGGACATCACCACAGAACCTATCAAGAGTTTTTAAATTGTACAGAAATTCTGTAAATAAGTTTCACAAACCAAAAAAAGGACAAATTCCTCAAAAAATAAACCAACATTCATATTGAATTACATGCATACTGAATTTATATTAAATTACATATTCAATGTGTAATTATATATCCAATATATAATTTGAGATTCTCTATATTAAGAGATTACAAAATGAAAACTACATAGTCATCTCAACAACTGCACAAAAAGTATTTTACAAAATGCAACATCTAGTCAGATAAAAATTGTCAGCACACTAGTAGTAGAACGAACAGAATGACTTTTCCTTAAACAGATAAAGAAAATCTTTATTAAGCTTGTAATTACTATGAGGCATAATTACGGAAGACTGAATACTGTCCCTCTAAGATTCAGAACAAGGCAAAGATTCCCATTTTTATCACTTCTACTAATTTTTGTGTCTACAGGTCCTCAAAGGTGCAATAAATCAAGAAAAAGAAATAAAAGCCACGTGGATTTAAAAGGAAGAAATAAAACTATCTTTAATTACAAATGGCATGATTATCAAGGTGGAAAATTCTAAGGAATTAATAGCACAGGCACAAAAAGTAATAAATGAATTTAGCAAAATTTCAGGATATGAAGTCAATATGCAAAATTAATTATTTTTCTATATACAAAACCAAACACTTGGAAATTGTAATAAAATAATACTACTTATAATAATATCAAAAGAGATACAATAAATTTTGGAAAAAAATGTGCACAGCATATAAACTGAAAACAACAGAACATTGCTGAGAAAAACTAACGATCTAAATAAATGCAGATACAGAGCTAAAAGACATTAAAAGACTCCTAGAGTTAAGGTATGAATTCTGCTCAAATTGACCTATACAGTCAACAAAATTACCATTAAAATCCCAAATATTTCGCTCTAAAATTTATATAGAAATGGAAATAAACTCTAGAATAGTTAAAACAATTTTGAAAAAGAACAAAGTGGGATGACTTTACCTGATTTCAAGACTTATTATACACAAGAATGAGAAACACAGTGTGTTGGTGTAAAGATAGAGATCAATGAAACATCATGGAGTTCAGAAACGAACCTACACTTTCATGACTAGATGATATTTGACAAAGTTTCCAGGGTAATTCAATGAGGAAAAGGGTTATCTTTTCAGGTAAAAGTATGAAAAAATTGAATACCCATAAGCAAAAATCAAAACAAAAACCCACTAAATTTGGACCCTTGACCCTTACCTTAAAACACAAAAATGAACTGGAAATGGATATTAACCTAAATGTAAATAATAAAACTGTAACATTTTTATAGCAAAGCACAAATGAAAGTCTTGGTGATCTCCTATTAGGACATAAAACTCACACACTTTTAAAGAAAAAAAGCCAATAAATTAGACTTCATCGGAATTAAAAATTTTGCTCTTCAAGTGAAAACGAAAGATCAAAGACTAGAAGAAAATATTTGCAACACATATATCTGACAAGGATTTGTATCCAGAAAACACAAAGAACTTTCACAACTCAGTAATAAGAAAACAACTTAATGATGTTATTTATCTTATTTGATACTTACAATAAGCCTGTGAAGTACATCACTAGTTCTATTTTGGGTAATAAAATTATTGCTCAGAAATGTTGAAAGTCTGTCATACAGTAAGTGACAAAAGGTTTCAAACCCTTTTCTTTCAGATTCTTATAGGTTTTCATTAACCATACCACCGAAGTACTACTTTTCAGAAAGCTATAGCAATCAGATTACATCAAATGCTTTATAAAAGGAATTGGCATGATTAGGCCTCAGGATTCCTCAAAACACACACATCTACCTGGGAGGCTAAGTCAGGAGAATGGCTTGAACCCGGGAGGTGGAGGTTGCAGTGAGCCAAGATGGTGCCGCTGCACTCCAGCCTGGGCAACAGGGCGAGACTCTGTCTCAAAAAAAAAAAAAAAAAAAA